AGTACATTTTTGGTTTTCGCATTTTCAAAATAATATAACAATAATATGTTAGTGGTAATACATATTTGTAAAGTACAACATACCAGTATAGTCAGCTACAGATACTCTATGTGATTCCTAGAATTATTATCATCTGCTATTGCTGTTTTTTTTTCTCAAAATGGTTGACTTTTATTTCATTACGGGAAAAGCCTCGAATCTGTGTTTAAATTGATTATTTATCCTATTTTCTATCTTACTGGAATTTTTAGAATAGTGAATTAAGCAATATGAAGGGGTTTAAAAAAACCTCTCCTCCCTATATATTTTATATTCCTGCTATTACAGTTATTGAATTTTCAAAGTCTAGGAAAATGAATATATAGCTATTTCAAAAAAGGTTGTCGGATAAAATGGCGAATGCCAATGGTCAAAAGGCGATTGCACGACCGAAAGTAGCCATGGGTTTTGCTAATTGAAAGGCAATAAGAACTGATTTGTAATGTAAGATGGTCTGTGGTAAACATTGGCTCCATTTAGTCTCCATTTCTATGTAAGGTGAATCCAATAAGYGAAATTTTGTTTGTCAAAACACTGTGTAACCATAGTCCCTTTCGGCCGTGAAATCTCCCTTCGACAATCRCCGTTCTCACCGACAACGTTTTTTTGAAATAGCTGTATATCAATGAATATTCCATGCATCATATTACTCGGTATATCATGGTGGTGTTCAGCTTGTAATAGAATGACGTATTTTATAATATCAAATTGGTCCACTAGTCAGATGGCCTATATTTGTAAATTATTGACGAATAAAAATTATTATTGATCTTTCAAGACATCATCTCAAATTGTAGTCTGCAGCTTATTTCTTGAAGCCTTTCAAGGTCGAATCTGATGATATTCGAAACCCGAAAAATTATRAAATAATATTTTGATCGTTGCCATCGCCCCAGCAAGCTGAAAATGGTATCATTTAAGACTTTCATCTTTTTTATATATCTGATCCAAAAATTGTACAAGTATATATGAGAAGTTGCAACAGAAAGGGGGTCTTCTTGTATGTGATCCACACCCACGGATTTCGTATTTACCCTCGTGTCATCAAAATTAGCCTTTATTAAAGGCCCCTTTTGAGTTCTTAAACCTTATTACTGGAAAAGGTACACAATTAACCACACGCACAATTAACCCATTCCATTTATGACGTCACAGTATGTTTACATTCCATAAAGATGTTCAAAAACAGTGGAAGTTTAAACTCATTTATATATTCTATCCGGAAGTAGAACTTCAATAGTAAAGTTTGGACATTGGCACGCATTGAAGATCGTTCATGTACATTTTATTCGACATGCCGTCACTGTGATCCCCTCGACCATATTCCTTAGCGTTAAAACAACAAAATGTTTTGATGTGACGTCATAATGAAATAGAGCAATTTCATTGGGTATTTCAGCGTTTGTTGTATTTAAGCCGTGTTCACCTGAAAGCCAAATCGTCGATCTTTTGCGAGTGATTGACCCAGGGTGACGCAACGCGCCCAATATGATCATGTGTGCTTGGTTTGATCAAAGTAAATTTAAAATCAAATCGCACGTACTCTGAAAAACAATTTTTTCTTTTTCTTCCTTTTCTTTTCTTTTTTCTTTACTCTTTTTGTTTTTGTTTTTTTTTTGTTTAAAAGATCAATGTAGATTATTTATCTTTAATTGGTTGTGTTGTAATTTTGTTGCGTACTGAGCTTGAAATACGTACAGTAAAATTAGCTTTCCAAATATTTTATTAAATTTCATCTATTCCCAATGCCCATCAACAATGTCTGCACATAAAGTTTCACCAATATTTCAAATATTTATACTTTACAAATAAGTTTTACAAAAAACACAAATTATTCCAAAAAAGCGAAAACCAATAATTTACTAAAACATATCAATCTAATAAAGGGCTTGACGTAAATTACAACATCACGCAGTATACCATGCAAAATTCACAATTTGTGATACAATGTCCATTTTCTTGGCGATGATTTCATAATAATAGCATATTCAATTAGTTGTGACGCTTTAAAAATTTCGTGAATCTTTTATTCCTTCTGTAGCGTGTTGTATATTTGATGGAAGCGCTGAAAGTTCGAATTTCCATTGGTTTTACTTCCATAGAAGAGCTTTGATCTTTTGGAGATTTCTCAACGCTAGATCTCTTCTTGAAGTTTTTCAGTGTTTTTATCACCCAATTCATTGGCTTTTTGTTGCTTAATTTTTGGTTGGCAGAAAGATTAAGCTCCTCTACTGTAATCACGTCAAAATCAGAAAACAGTCCATCAAAGCTGATGTTTGCAGGAAGGGATAGCTTGGCATCTTCACCGGCTTCAAACTGATGTTCAACGCGAATAAGAGCATGTTGGTCCATTGTCTCCAGCGTCAATAAGTGAATATTTTGTGGAAGATCTCGTTTAAGACCTTTGTATACAGT